GATTACTTCATACAAAACGGTCAACCGGAAAATATATGAATTGCTAATTAAATACCGTAGACATCTGTCTATACGTTAAAAAGGATACGTTCATAATTCAATAGTCGAGTTGAAACTTAGATGACTCAGTGAGCTCTCGTCCAAGCAGGACGAAAGAATTTCTTTAAAAACTTGGCTTAATTGTACTCTTTATTCCATAGCGAACAATATAAAATAAGGTGAGAAAATAAGTAGGTAATTTTTGTTAAATGGATTAGCAACAACAAAAAAGGTGTGAAAATCTTCTAATAAGTTACTTCATTTTAGCCAAAGAATATGGCCTGATGAGAATCGTCGACGACCCTACAAAATGCGCGTGGCTGGCGAATGGACACTCACTGGAGCATTATTTGATACGCCATCAGGTGAGAAGGCTTTTCAACTCATGAAGGCAAAAAAAGTCATTCGGAAGTTTTTCGAATTGTCATAGAGGCAGAAATTCATTCATTAACCCCGCTATATTTATGTAGGGCACATTCTTTTCCCTTTATTCCTTTTCTCCAATTTACTTTGATTTTCTTATAAAAAAGATGTTCTACCAGCTTGTTTTTTTTTTTGCCTAAAAATATTCTTAAATTGATAGAGCTAGGACATTAATGGCATACATTTCTTCTTATTTTTAAAAAATTGCAAATTACTTCAGGACACAGTAGAGTACCGAAAAAAGATTCGCCTTCTAAAAGTTCGTATGCTGGATGGCTCCGTGAAAACGATTCCAGTGGATGAGAGCCAACCAGTCGGGCAACTAATGGTTGGCGTATGCACGAAAATAGGTATCTCCAACTACGAAGAGTATAGTTTGGTGGGTTTGAAGTTTTCTTTTACTCCCTCATATTAGCATAGCTTTTCCAGCATTTAAGTAGAACATCCGATATAAAAATTGCGACACAGGCGCTTTCAAGCAGATCATTATATTTGAGAAATTTATTTGAAGATATATTGAGTCAAAATTTTTTTTTGATATTCCAGAAAGTATGACGTATGAATAATTGACACGACATACTTCCATAGCAAGTGCTATCCGCTCTCATTATTCATATCTAATTGGACATGTAGTTTTTTCCCCTTTTCAAAAGTTCTTATGGAAGCGAAAGTTAGGTAGTCTAACTCGACTTACTACATCATTATCATTCCTACTTATATGTCAAAATAATTTACTACCTCCTTTAGTCATCGAACTATACTTCAAATCAATTTATGAACTGATTATACAGTAAAATGATATTTATATAAATAAATAGTCAAAAATGATATAATATCCCTATTAAAGAGTAATTATTTATTCCAAAGATTCAACACAATTCTTTTGTATTGCGTAGTTTCCAATTCATAGCTGTAAATATAGCTTTTTATCTTTTTAGTTAAGCACAAAAGTGGTAAGAATGTAATGTCTAAACTGTTTGGAAATCATTGTTTCATGGAGATTTAACATTCTTTTTTCCATATCTGTTGAGAGCAATAATATGAAATTCCAAAAAATTGCATCTCTCAATTTGAAAAATTGCTTTATATGAAAGAGGTTGTATGTGAAACTCTACGTATTATTTTCTCATCCATAAATCTATTTAAAAAAAATAAAGAGGCCAAGCTGACCTTTTATTCTATGTTTCAAAAGAATGAAATGAGTTGTTGTGATTTTTGCTTTATAAATACATTTTGAGATTGCTTAAATCGTAAGTCCTATTTACTGTATGTTTAAGGTTCGCGCGACAGAACCAGATGCACGAGGATCTATGATGAATCTAAAAGACGATCGATCTCGTATTAATGATGGAGAAAAGGGAAAGGGAATGATGGGCACCCTTGGCAGAAAGAAAGAGCAGAAACTCGAACAACTACGGTTTGTTTTTTAAAGAAATTGTGGGAGGATTTCTAGCTGAAACAGCGCATTCTTCCTACGCACTGCTTATGATTTGTTTGCTTTGAAGATGAGATATTGCAGTAATAGCTTCAGAAATGGATCGTGGTGGGTTATGGTGATTGAGGTGTTTGTAGTTCGATAGTTTTAAAAGAAGTTAACGACCTAATGAGTTTTAGCGGAGTGACAAATAAAATTTGTTAGTGACTGTTGAATTTGATAAGATCTTGTACTCATGCGAGATTTTAAATTTGCCCAAAAATCTTTTCTAGTAGGAGTAATTTTATGTTTTGAGTGGATTGCATAAACTTAACTATATCGGCTTATCCCTTCCTTGCTCTAACTGATGCTTTTTAAAATAGACATCTAGAAATTAGTTTGTTGAGACAAAAAATGTTATTTTCTTTTCCTCCCTATGTTTCCACAGATCTTAGGGAAATTTTCAATTCTGCCAACAAGTTTTCCGAAGCAAACGAATGAATAACTCAAAAAATGAAGCTTAATAAAGAGTAGATTCTTTTCAGGCAAAAACTGCATACTGATGAAGAGATGGCTTGGGTGGATCACAGTAAAACGTTGAGAGAGCAGGGTATCGGAGAGGATGAGACACTGCTTCTACGACGAAAATACTTTTTCAGGTTGGTTTCTGACATCATCTTGCCTATATACCAC